TCCCTCCCCCATTTGGAGATCTCCAGGCTGCAGTTATACCCTTCTCCGAAATGTGGGCTATTCACACACAAGGCAGTTGAAAGACGGCCTGTTTGCGTTCTCTTGCTCAATGTTTGTGAAAGGAACATAATGAAGAAAAATAACATTGCCGTCAACACACCGGAGTTACTAGGCACCGTCTTTTACACGTGATTGATTGCAGTCTCAATTTAACATACATTGAGAAAACTTGAAATAAAAGTGTCTTTGGAAATAGAACAATTACCATTATTAACGGTTTACCCCCAAAATTAAAATTTTGTTAATACTTACCCTCATGTTGTTCCAAAACTGTATGCTGTTGATTCCATGAAGAATCTTCAAGCAGCTGCTTTCCATACAAATGTCAGTTTATGGTGACCTATAGTGACCAAAACCAAACAGGAAACCTCTCATTGAACACTGAGAATTTGTTACATAAGTGGTTCCTCAAAAAGATGAATTTAGTGACTCTTCTCCCTGAAAAGATTTTTTTAGCATACTGACAGTCCATTGGTTGCTGTTAGCATGCTGTCAGCACATTAAAATTGTCTCTGGGAAGCTGAAACTTTAAATTAATCCTCTTTAAACATAAAATAAATAAATAAATAAAAACTACATTCTCAACTGTCAGTTAACCATCCTAACACAATTTTATTAAATAATACAATTTTATATAATAACACATGCTAATTTTTGCTCATTTTAAAGAAAGAGTCAGAAGAGAAACAGAATGGTAAACATTGTAATTCTATTGCGCAATAAAGGTACACTTTGTAAAATGACTCAGAGAATGTCAGAAATTACAATGATCAGTGACAACATAAAAAAAAGTCTCAAACAAGTTCACAAGGACATAATTTCACAATGCTTCACAAATCTCCCTACCCAGACAAACGCTTTATTCCTGTGATGTTAATAATGTTCATGCCAACAAACCATCAATGACTCGTAGGGCAAAATATATCCCACCTCCTTCCAAAAGTCTTGTTCTTTTAGTTGCATGTCTAATAATGGATCAATATTTGTCACAATATTGTTCATATTCATGTTATATTGTTTATATCCGTAGCCATGCTGCCCGATTTCCCCCTTTAGATGTCCACAGTGCCCATTTCTCCCATAAACCCCATCCACAGGCCTTCTGGCCCACCCTTAGAGTCTGTAGGAGGTCTATCCAGTGCCTGCAGCGGCCTTCCTCATCACCTCCTCATCCTGAACAGAGAGCTCAGTGAGTTTCCGACCAAGTCTCTCATGCAAGTCCAAGTATTTGGCGACACAGCGGTCCAGACACACAGCTTCCCCCTTTGAAAGTTCTGCCTCCTTGTAATGAGGTGGAACACATTTCCTGTGACATGCATTGGTCATTCTGCATGAGGAAAAGGCACAGGACAAATGAGATCATACACATTTGGTTATGTAATGTATAATCTAATTGAAACACAGAAATGTTCATCTTCATGAATGATTCAAGTACTATAATCTTTATTAATTCATGCCATTATTTTGTAGAGACTACATTCTAGGTCTGCAACAATTAATCAACAACAACAACTAAAAAAAAAATCGCTAAGAAAAAAAAAGGGACAACAAATTTGATCGATTAATCGCATTTGCAGGAACATCCAGAAAACATCCAGTCTTGCCAATATACAGTAATGAATAATGCATTTCTATGGACAAAACCCAACTGAAATGGATATAGATTGAGCTGCTATGTCTGAAGTAATTCTGAATAAAATATATATTTTGATGTTAAATGTATAATTAAATTGCTACATGTAGCACAAGTAATTGTATTTTTATGAGAGCAAAATATATATTTTGATGTTAAATGTATAATTAAATTGCTACATGTAGCACAAGTAATTGTATTTTTATGAGAGCAGTAACAGTAAAGGGAATATTGTAATGGGGTATAGATATAATTACTATGTTCAGATTCAGACTCTTACCACTTAACATTTAGCCTGTGCTTTTGTTTTTCTTTTTTCCTTATTTTTAATTTTAACTTTTAAATTTGCGATGTGTTTTCATAGCCTTCAGTTTATAAGATGTGATATATACACAAAATAAAATCTGCCTTTTCATCTGATTAACTGAGAAATAATCGACAGATTAATCATTATCAGAATAAATATTGCAGTCCTACTACAAACAGCAGGCTACATACCAGGAATGAATGCAATGCATGGAAACTTTTAATTTTCCTAAAAACACAGTTTAGGCTGTGCTGCACACAGTACTTGCCATTTAACACAATTTATTTTTAAAAAAAGGTCACCTGCTATAAAGTGCTTCTGCTAATTGCAAAAACAGTCACTATACAAATCTAAGACGCCTATCTCAAGGGCACAGGCTAACAGTTTGAGAGATTTTTATATACTCAAATTTATTGGTCTGTCTGCTTTGACGGAGGCCAGAAAAGGTGAACATGATTCGAGCTGTACGATTATATACAGGATGCATTTAACTATATTTGAGTGCATACAGCTTGAAGTACATAATAGTAATACAACTTTACTGATATGACGGATGATACAAAAATAGTTTACATGAACGGAAGACGACTGTGAAACTGCTTAAATAACTGAATGCATTAAACTGACAAGGATTCTGACGACACAAGTGCGACAGGAGATGAAGTCACGACTAATGTTACTGCATGTCACATAGTATAGCAAAAGGCAGGTTCTGTCGTGTTCTAAATAATCGAATGTGATACTGAGCAAAGCCTGGTGTCTAAATAAGATATAATAATAACATTACAAAACGTGTAGCCTGCCACTGATTGTAGTACCACGCTGCACCTACAATATACTATTCAATAGCGTAACCCACTAAAGTCCATAGATTTCGTATGTCAGATGACGAGAACGTAAGTAATCTGTCAGAAAGCATGCTGTTACACATTTACAGACCACCGTTGGCTTCATACCGGTTATACATGTCTGCCATCATTTCAACCTCCAGCTCCGCGGCGAGCTGCTGCGCTTTCATGGGGTCCATCTCTGCAAATGACCTTTCGGTTTACCCTCGCTAAAAACCCACCGGACAACGCGTGGGTCCCGTTCAACAAAGAGCTCTGACAGCTTGCTTTAACCTTCAGTGAGCGCGCTTGACCGGAGGAAGTACCCACGTGGATCCTATCCATCCAGCAAATTGGTACTTCCGCTGACAATAAAGTTTTCTATTCAAACCCACCGCTGTTTGCTCCGCTGCGTCTTCATTTATAAACGAAGTTATGCTTCGATTAAAGGGGTCATATGATGCTTTTTTAAAGATCATTATTTTGTGTATTTGGTGTAACAGAATATGTTGACATGCTTTAATGTTCAAAAAACACATTATTTTTCAAATACTGTACATTATTGTAGGTCCTCTATGCCCCGCCTCTCTCAAACGCTTCGTTTTCTACAAAGTCCCTCCTTCTGACAAGCGCAGTCTGCTCTGATTGGCCAGCTGACCCAGTGCATTGTGATTGGCCGAACACCGCAAGCACTCGTCGGAAATGTAACGCCCCTTACCATAATCGCGAGCTTCATCTTTCAAAATAAATGTAAAGACAGTAAATAATGTCATTAGTTTTACCATCAGTTCAAGCCCGAAAGGGGAACAGAGTCGCGTGACAGACACAGTGATGAAGCTGGTATGTGTTTGCAGTACACAAGCCACGGTTAAGACAGCTGACTCTACTGTGATGTGACGCTGTCTCTCTCTCTCTCTCTCACACACACACAGACATGATGCGCAAAACTCTGCATTTGAACAGTCAATAGCAAATACTTAAACTAATAACAAAACATACTTACAGTAGCTGATTCAGAAGCGCCAGATTGTCATAGCAAAGTCAGAATTACCTCCTCTCCTAGGTTCACGAAACGGTCGTCCATAAAATGCATTGCTGTTCTGTTGTAAGTGATCTTAAAGATTCCTAAATGCATCTACTTCTGGTAGGCCAAATAAAGTGCTTTTGCTTTCGTTTAGAAACACACAGCGTCTCCCTGACATGGTTGCTTCAACACTAACTGCGGTTACTGAAACCATGCCTTCTTTCTTTGCGTGCACATTTGGGCGCATTATGCAAATATTTCCATATAGTGAGGTAGATATGTGGGGGCGTGTTAGAACGAGCCGTTTTAGGGGGGCGTGGCAGAGTCTTAACTTTGATAAAGAATATCTCTTTGGTTTTGAGACTTTAGTCTTTGCAACTTCAGGGATCTTATCTATGCACAATCAGCTTGTAACACTCCAAAGAGAAAGGAAAACTTGAAATCGCATCATATGACCCCTTTAAAGTATTCTGTGTAATGACAATATCCCTTTTATTACATTTATAGTTTTTTTTATTTCTTAATTTAACTATTATTTTATCTCGCTGTTATCATCATTCTCGCATCTTTTTACAAATTCCTATGACTTCCAGTTACTGGATAAAGATTTTTTCAAATTTCATAGAAACCACGTTCTCAAAATTTCTAACTGATAGAATCTTTTATAACTATGCCAATAGAATATTACCACATTCTTTCAAATGTCCTAATATTTCGAGGGAATTTAATATTTTCACATTGGGAAAGCCATTTTATGCTTTACTTTGTGTTATTATATTTTGCACTTGCACAATTATTTAATTTGTTTAAGAATAAAGATACACACAAAGTCAGATTAAAATAATTACACCAAATAGGTATCGTGATATATTTTAAATAAAGCACACATACAAAAGTGTAATGTGAACTTATATAAATTGATTTTAATTTACATAATTTTAATATGTAACTTTATACATGTATGAGACAATCCAAAATAAATTGAATGAATTTATAGGCTAATTCACATAAGTAATGTCAAATTGACAAAAAAAAGAGAGAATTCTTCTCACCATTTGATATATTAAACCTTGGGTTAAGAACTTGGTTCAAACATCTGCTATTGATTTCAAAATGCGAAACATGTATTCTCAACATGAACATAAAAATTCACTCCGTCTCTTCTCCAGTGACATCTACCTCCTCTTCTTCAGTGGCATCCAACTCATCCTCTTGCTCCATTAGACACTCAATAGCCAGTGTGACAAACTGTCTAGCCGCCAAAAGCCCTAACGGATCTTCTACAGACTCATCGACAACATCTACTTCAATATCTTCTTCATCTGCTGATTCTGAATTGGACGTCACCGCTGAGATATTCTCACTGCACACTCTGGGGCTTTGATAGTTTGACTGAAGCCATACTTCAGTCTGGACACAAGGAGCATCTCTGATTATTATTTCTTCTGTTTTTCTCAGTGTCAGAGCTATGAGGACAAAACAGAAATCAGGAATATGGATTATTAATAACAGAGTATACAAAAATGTTCTAAGTTTAGCTTTTACCTCTGTTTGATGCATCATCTGCAGTCCAAGCACTTGCAATGTGTCCTTTACTCAATTCATCTTCCTCCAGTAGGGTCTGTTCATCAATCTTCCCAGCACTGTACTGGTCCCCCTCCTCATTCATTTCATCATTATCATCCCAGCCATTGGTGGTTTCCCAACACCTATCATCTGAAGAAGGCAGAGCATGTTCCTCCACAAGCTCATTTGCCCCCAGAACTTCAGTTTCTTCTCCCTCCATAGTTTCTTCAATCATCTGAACCTCTTGGTTCCTACCTAAATCCTCCTCTTTCTCCAAACAATCAGCCACACAGCTAACATCCTGGGTATTAACAACACCCTGTGCTTCCTGAACGCCTTTGTCCATGATGTCTGATGTCACCTCAAATGAACACTCATTAGAAACGGTATCTTCCAGGTTTTGTTCATCTCTGCGATGTTCTGCTGGTGTACTACCAGGATTCGTACTGAAATTCATTTCTATTCCCTCCATCACTGTCAGTTCATTGGTAGAAACATCACAATCTTTCTCTGTGCGCGACTTGGCACGATCAGCATCATCAGCCGGCGTCATCATTTCCTTCATTATGTCCTCCTCAGCTGTTAACGGCACCGAAATCACAGTCATTTGGTCCTGAATGTCTTTTCCCATCTCGTTTTGGGAATCACTATTCTGTAACACACTGGCTTGTCTACTTGAGTTCTCCCCAGTGGCAGTTTCTCCGTCTTTAACTGAACATGTCACGTTATCTAGCATGTCTCCACATGACAACGGTGACCCTACTTGCTTGTCAGATACCTTCATGTCTTTATTCTCGTTTATCAGCAGAGACGTCTCTGCTTTTTTCTTACCACAAATGCCCTTATTGAGCACTTCACTGCTATTCATCATTAATTTACTACTCTCGTCTTCACTTTTCCCTCCTTGGAATTTTTGAAGGCTAAAAGAGGTGTCTCGCAGGCTTGATGTTAGCGGCTGATCAATATTCAGAGAACTCCTACAAGCGAGGCTTTCAACACTCGGAAGAGTCTGATGGAAAATTTGATCAATGATACTTGGTCCTTTTGCCTGACCAGCATATTTTAAGTGAGAATTCAGCGTTGTCTGTGCAAAATTGCTGTTAACATCTGCTTCTTCCATTTCTGTTGAGTCTTTCTCCTGCTGTGTATTTGGTTTTTGCTTATTACCCTGCTCAACCTCACTGTCTTTCTTAGTTTTTTCCACTTCACAATCACCTTGTCCTGAAGTGGGCAATTTCTCTGCACTGTTGCACATGTGAGCTACAGCGGTGTTTTTAGACCTAGGGGGTCTACCACGACCACGTTTCACAATACCAGTGTATTTTGGTTTAGGTAAAACATCTTCATGTTTTTCACTGTCAGTGTTCAATGGAGGCATTTTCTTTCTGATAGGTGAAGAAATTTCTTTTTTTCTCTTCACACCTGCAGTTGCTTTTCTGTTTGCATTGCTTATGCGGGTACTGACTCTACGTGCGTTAGAAGTTGATGGCTTAACATCTTCACAGTGGGGATCATCACACTTTGATATCCTCGGTTGAACCTGATCCTGATTTTCTAGGTTTGGACACTTTGTATCCCCATTCACTTCTGACTTTTGAGTTGCGAGTCTCCGTCTTCTCGTCCTTCTCTGCTTTGGGTGCTCACTAGCATCTTTCACATCATGCTGAATGGTGTTTGAACTACTCCCACTCGTTAAATCAGCTTGTATAAAGGAAGTCTTCAATTCTTGCTTTTCTGCAAGGTCAGGGCACGATCGATTTTGGCAGGCGATGAGGTCAGGCTGTGGACGTGGGTAGGAGGAATCAATCATCGAGCTTAGAGGGAAGTCCAATTCCAGTGGTGACTCAGAAAGCCACAAGGGAAGGTTTTGCAGTTCTAGGTCCTGTCTGTGTGGTGGTTCTTGTGTAGGAACATCACAGTCTCCCTTATCTGATTCAAGGGGGGAAAGGCATCGTAGTAGTTTGAATTCTGGCCTGTCGTCCAGTATGCTGGTCATACCAAGGCTTGGCATTTCACCTGCGGCCGGAGAAGGGTTAGCTGGGACAGCTGTGGCTTTTAGGGTTAAAAACAAGTCTTCTACCAGTGAGGGGGTGGAGTTTCTTGCCCCAGCTGCCAGATTCTTATCTTTGTTCAAGTCGTCCTGTCCAGGTGACTGAGTCACGAATGTATTGGATCTTGACTGATTCTGAAAGCCTGAGTGGTCTAAAAAACAAGGAGTAAAGTCAGGAATAAAGTACTCAATGACATATATACATATAAAAAAAATTCAATAAAAAAATTCATCACATTTCAAATAACTTAAAACATATTTTTGGGACAAAAATGTCAAGGTGATACAACTGTCCTGATATAATGAAGAAAGAATTATTATTATTATCATTATTATATCTTAGAAAAAATATTTGAACAAAATTGCTTTACTGTGTAGTAATATTTGAAAAAAAATAAAAAATTGTCTACAAAATCAACTCAAACATGCAAATAAATAAAAATAATCATTAAAAAAATCATAAAACAGGAAATAATATCACAGAGAATATCATAAATATCATATTTATGAATTATAAACCATGATGACAGTTTTTTTTACCTTGTAAAGTATTAAGTGTTAATATTTGATGGTTGCACCACATGACATTTCACTGAATTTTGGGGAAACTATAGAAAACCAACATGAAATCAGAGTACATTTCTAAGATCTTGGCACTTGTGTTTTAAGCCAGATTTTATTTATATTCTTTATCATGGACACTCTTATTTTTCATTGACCCAAAGACTAAGGCAATCATATCACATGCTGTTTGGGTTAAGTAAGCATGTGAAGAGTACTGAGTTGAGAATGTTGGATGTTTGATGAATGTAAGTGCTATACTAAAAACATGAGAAAGAAAGCTGGGAGCACCCCACCATAATGAATGTACACATGCATGGTCTAAATTACCACAAACCCAAGACATTTCAAGATGATGCTTTACCTTCATCTCTTTGTCCTGGTGACCCATCTGGTACTGCTGTCTTGCTAACATCAGATCCCCTCATCTCTGTCTCACAGCTTTGTATATAAACACAAGCACCTTGAGCAGAGGCCTCAGCAGCCCTCTGCTGACCTTTTGGATCCTGAAGAGGACCTAGCTGCTCTTGCTCATCCAGATTTCTGTCTATTGGAATCAATGGCAGGATGTTTAAATCCATCAACATATCATCCAACATCTTTGCAATATGTTCATCAGATTCATCTGCTTGGGGAGGGCTTGAAGATAAAGTTGGTATTTCCAAAGGGGAGGAGACAGAAACGTGGTGTGGAGTACGAAGACATTTATCTGAAGAGGCATGCGTGGAAGAATTGGAGGGTGAAATAGGCAGGTCCGTCGGTGGGGTGAGAGTTCCAAGACTTTGACCAGGAAGTACGCTAGGTGGGCAGCTCTTTAGTCAGAAAAAAGAAAATTATGAAATGAACACATATACATATACATTATTCAACCCCTATTCAACATTGCTGTTTTAAGTCACTTATTTCTCTGGTAGGGTGCAATATTGTGTTAAAACACAATTAAGCCGTTGGAAACTACAACGACACTTGACTTGATTAGCTACAAGAAGATTTCAAGTCACTGAAAGTTGTAGAGACACAGCTGGCAAACGTATTCATAAGTTTAAAATGTGTTATATCTGAAAACCTTTGAGGGCATTGAAGAAAAAGCACAATATCATTAAAGGGAATAAAATACTTGATCAGAGCAACTGAGAAAAACATTCATTTTACTACCAAAGACCTGCAAGGTGACCTGATGTAAGGAGGGGGGAGAAAATCAATGAAGAGTATAAGACAATGAAGAGTATAAGACGAACACCAAACAAGCATGACCTTCAAGTTGGGACATCTTGCTGAACACCTCTCTTGATCAAAAAGAATATAAAAAGCTGACTTTAATTAACAAAATTAATTTGGATAGACCTGTGGAGTTCTGGAATATTTTTTATGAAGTGGCCAGTTCAGTCTTCAGATTTAAATCTCATTTAGAATATCTGGTGGAATTTGAAGAAAGAATATCAGTGATCTGAAAGCTTTTTCAGGCAAGGAATGGGGCAATTAGGGGCAGCGTTTCTTGGAGGTTATTAAATGTAAAAAGATTCTCTACAAAGTTGGGGTTGTATAATTTTGTGCATGAATGTTTAGAGCCAATTTGATTTTTTATTTTATTTTACGTACTGAGAATCACTCAAATGTGAATTCATAATTTTCCTATTATAGTTTAGTGATGCCTTGGTTGAACTTTTTTCATACATTTTTGTTCACAGCAGCAGAATGTCTTACAGGTCAAGTGGGTTGAATAATTTTGCGATAGATAGATAGATATGTGTGTGTGTGTGAAAATATTTCAGCTTAATATTTTTGTGGAAACAATGATTTTTTTTTTCAGGATGTGTATATATATATATATATATATATATATATATATTTCAATACATCAATATAAACTATGCTTTATTTGTCTAAATTGTGTTATAAATTTAGATTTAAAGATAAATCCTTACCTGAGTTTGAAGTCCACACTCTTTCATTTCTTCTGGGTTCTTCTCGCTCTCACCTTGGACAGAAACGAGAAGGTTGCTCTCCCAGCAAGCTCCGCTCCTCCTCAGTTTTATCCTAACTTTAAGCTGGTCCAATTTGGCCTCCTTTTGTTCAGCAGTAGCACTGTTATCTGCCTCTAAAAGTTTCTGGAAGTTTTTGCCTGAAACATTCATTTGCTGGCGAGTTAATTTTTTTAATTGGCTTTCTCTCTTTGCCATTTTCCACCTCTTCTTAGCCTTTGTTTTATGATGATTTATTACAGATGCTTCTGTCACGACAGCGAGGGAAGGAACAGTGGCATTACTGGTCCGATTAAAACCTGCAGTTGGACTAGCTTCATCAAGTAATGACAATGATGACAAATCAGCTTCCGATAAGCCACAGACTTGCACTGGAAGAGTACTGCTCTGTATCCTTAATGGCTCAGAAACGATTTCACTTTCCTGGCTATTCACATCTTCTGTCTGTACACCAATCTCTCTCCAACAATGAACGTCAGGTAATTGTGATCTCAGTTCAACGTCTTCATGTTGTTTGGTATTAAATGGCAAAGAAAGGCTAGCTCAGCCATACTCTCAATCTCTAAGGTCAACTGAGCCTGATATCGCGAGGATTCATCTGGTATTAAGACTGCACAGCCGTCTTGTTTTCAAACGCTAAGTGCACGTTGTTCATCAAACTTGCTAAAACGACACCACATTATAATCCAATATTGACACAAATAATTTTACATACGCAAACACAGGTGATCTGTAGGACACGTGAGCCGTTGCATCACAAATCATCTCAAGTCAAGCGACTCTCTCTAGCTCCATTCATCTTCTAGAAGAGAGATTTCCAGTCACGCGAATCTTTTGAATCGTTCACCAAAAAGATTCATTCACGGATTTGTTCAGTGGCCCTGTCTGCACAGTTACGCCAGTAGATGGCGCTATGGGTGAGCATCTTGAAAGAGTCTGTTGAATTATTCATTCAAACGATTCGTTTAAAACCGCAGCAGTTTTATGATTTTGTTCTTGTGTACTTGTGCAACTGAAATCTGACGAAGATTAATAAATTAAAGACATTTCCAAAGTAAAAAAATAAGACTATCGGACATTTCCATAACTGCATTTATTGGTTTAATAGCTCTCTTCAATGTGGTCTCATTAAAATGAGTGAAGTTAGGTTTGTATCAGTGGTTCTGAGCAGGGGGCTCACTATGGCTTAAAATAGTTCAAATAAGCGTTATTACCAGCTACAATTACTAAAAACCAACATAATTTAGCTTCATTTTAAATTCACCTCCTTCCAAGCTGTTTTTTCCTCTTCTCTTTCCGTCTGGAAAATATCCCTGGACATATGAGGTAGCCTAATTTTAAGAAACGTGATGTCTAGATCTAGAAAGATCCTGTAGCCTAATTAATAAAATCTTAAAAGTCTGGGCATTTTTATAACACAACTTTGTCTAGTTATGCAAAGGACACTAAAATATTAGGTAGAAATTATGAGATAAATCACTTGAAAACTCGTGTAAATGCTTTGGTAAAAAGGGATGGGAACATTGCTGTGGACAATATTCAACAAAAAAGTTGTAAACCACTGGTTTAGTTACTTTCAAGTAATTTAAGATGACAACTAGCATGTTAAGTTCACACTGTCTTGACTAGTTTGTAAAAAGTTTTTTTTAGAGAACAACTCCCATGAAGTTGAATCAATTGAATAATGATACCATGTGCATCAAACATATTTCTCAGTAAGCAGCTAGGCTGTATATGGTAAAATATATTACATTTCTCAATTACTTCATTACACTGATATTCTAAAAATGAAGAATTCTAATCAAATGAATGTATTAAATGTGTTAAAACACTCTTTGAACCACACAAAAATTCACTGTCAGAACCTTGGAAAAAAAATCATTTTATTTAAAAAAACAAAAAAAAACGGTATTGCTACGTTACATGTTCAATCCATGAGAGAAAGGTGCAACGTTTAAGACCAAAGGTAAAGTGTTGAAATATAGGAATTATGAATCAAGATCCACATGTTAGTGTTGCAGAAACATGTCAACTGACGGCACATGACACAAAGAATTTTTCCTTTCGTCTTTAATTAAAAGGTATAAACCGTAAATGCATTTATTTAAAAAATAAAACTGATTGCATATGCATTCACCCACAACACCCCAGAAAAACTAAATCAGCCCCAATCATAAAATATAGAAAAGAAAGAGCAACAGAACAAAAACCAAGAAGAAAAAAATAATAATTAAAATTAACAAATATTCTCTGGTATATATAGTTAAATGTGCTTTAATTTTATCTCTCTTATTTTCTCATCAAGCTAGAATCAAAATCTGGCTAAATCCTGCCGAAAGAGATGCGATTTTCTTGTAATTAAAAGATTCATTTATCTGCCTCCCTCAACACTGAACAATCGATTGATTCCTCGAACTCGTGAACAGCCTCCTTTATCAGGACTCGGACTTCTGGCTCACATCCATTTAGTCAACAGCCGACCTTTCCTTTACTGACTGTAGCGTCTCCAAGGATTGGACTGCAGATTGGCAGACAGGGAATTAAAAAGGCATTGGGGGGGGAAAAAAAATTCTAAAAAAAAAAAAAAACATCCATTACCCCTAGTGCTAAAGTTTCCATTCAGTAAATATCTACAACAGACTTACTGTGCATTTTTAATTATGCAGTCTAAGAAATGAGCACTGTACTTATGGATCTCAGAAAAAAAAAAAATGCATATACATCCTCAAATGTACACTCGTTCACTCTCTACACAGACAGGCACTGAAACCAAGAGGCAGAAGGGTGGCCAAACGTCCCTGTTCACCGCTCATCACAAACACACACTCAAACGACGCGCTGAGCAAGCGAGGCACTCCAAGTATGCAGAGTGGATTTGTGAGACACGGTCATATTTACACATTCATTTATATTCAGACAGATCGAAGTCCAGGGCTACAATTTGTCTCAGAGTTAAAGGCTTTTTTTATCTTCTCTTTTGTGGCTATTTAATTGTACTTATTATAAATGAAGAGTGAGGAACTGTTGAGTTCCCAAACAGAAGCTAATCGTTGTCAGTGACAATTTTAAAAAACAAAACAAAGGGGGAAATACATCATCTCAAACCAGCTTTCCCACTCTGGAATGCTTTGCAAATTTGACAACTGAATGAATAAAACTATACTCACCTACCACTAGAGAACTTTCTTGAATGCTACTGGTTTAAAAACAACAACAACAACAAAAACAAATCTCCCAATCAAATATCCCTCTGCCTCTTAATGCTTCATCCACGCGTTCACAACAACCACTTCCTAGAGACCGAACACTCCACGAGACCATCCACAAAAACCACAGATGGATAACTTAAGGGGAATTGGTGGTCGTCTAGTGCTTTCAGAAAACGACAAAAAATAGGCCTCATGCCTGTTGCAATGCATCAACGAGACACAAAACTTACCGAAAAATTCTATATACATTATTTTCTGCAGGCCGCATATGACTGATGCAATTTGGCTTTACCTTTTTATCAATGTGAACCACAAAGCAGGATGAAGCAAAATAATCAAAACACCAACGCCATACTATGCTAGTGTTCTAATAGATGTATAAGCAAAAAACAAAAACAAAATAATACGGAAATGATTTATAAAGCTCAATAAGCTGCGGATGTGACTAAATAGAGCTTGTAGTCCCTAGTGTTTCCATTATTTGACATAAAAAGAGTCCGTTTGAAGTAGTGGCTGTTCTCAATCACATGAGAGTGACAACATGAGAATGTTGAAAACTACAGAAGGGTCGTTGCAATTAGTGGCAATGGTCCCGTAAGTGATGAGATCAGAGGCTCAGCAGGGACAGTAGGCAGGAGGAGGAAACTCACGGTGGGTGATGCACACGATCAGTTTTTCTGTGGACAGAAACAGGATGAGACGTGAAGGTCAGACGTGGTACTCGCTTATATTAGGTTTACTAATAACAAAGGGAAATGATTCAGTAATGTGTCATCAAAGAGCTGTGATGGGAATTTGTGTGCATCACACCATTCACATCACCCATTTTACGTGGCAAAGTGATGACGGATACAACCACTGAAACATCAGTCATGTGACCAAAGTGGACACATGAGAGGAAGAGATCAGTGTTGGGGAGTAACTGACTGAAAAGTAGTAACCCTACTAATGGAACGTGACATTGGCTGAGCTGTTTTCTGAACATTTTTGAGAATTGTTGTTTTTTTATGTACTTTTCAGTCGTTTGTTTCTGACTAGTTGTTCACTGTAAATTTGTTTACATTTAAAGCTGTCATCCCATTAGATATCCTTGTTTTTGCACCAGATTAATTAGAGCTCTAATGAAAAATCTAATATAAGAATACATTAAAAAAAGAAAATAAATTTTCAGTGAAATATTGACCATTCAGTCATTAATGTTTTTACTTTAGTTGTTCACTGTAAATTTGTTTCATTAAAGCAGATTAAATTGCACAAAAAGCTGATGAATTGTAAAAAGTAAAAAATAAAATATTAAATAGTTTTTAAATCTTTAGTCTTTAAATATTAAATTTAAAGTTTGAATTTAAAGCTGTCATCCTATTTGACATCCTTGTTTTTGCACCAGATAAATATGGCTCTAGTTGAAAAAATTTAAAAAAAGAAATGTAAAAAAAAAAAAAAAAGACATTTCAAATTGAGTCCATTTTACCTCGACTTTAGTTGTTAAATATTTCACTGCAGAAAGGCAGTGAAGAAAAATATTATATAATTATTATTTTATTTATATTAGTGCTGTCAAAAGATTAATCGCGATTAATCGCATCCAAAATAAATGTTTGTTTACATAATGTGTGTACTGTGTATATTTATTATGCGTGTATATACATGTATGTATGTATGTATGTATATATATATATATATATATATATATAAATAAATAAATAAATACACACATATACAGTCAATATTTTGAAAATATTTACATGTATTTACATGCATATATTTATATTATATATAAATATAATATAAAAACAAATGTTCTTAAATATATACACATGCATGTGTATTTATTTATATATACATAAACACACAGTACACGCACATATATTATGTAAACAAAAACTTTTATTTTGGATGCAATTAATCGCGATTAATCATTTGACAGCACCAATTTATATACATACACTCACACATATAGCTGTCACTCTATTTTGACATTTCTTGAAATGTAAATTCACTTTAATTTGTTTATTGTGTGCAACTTAAACCGGTCTTCTTATTTGAGATCATTAGTTTTGTATGAAACAAATTTGGCCCCAGTTGTAAAAATAAGGTTCTAAAAATACATTATGATAAATAAATTCATTATTTTACTAAGCAGCTTGTATACCTAACTGCACTTCAGTAGTTGTAGCTTAATTCAACTATAGCTTTCCAACTACAAGCTAAACCAAATTTAAAGAAGCTTCCCCAACACTGGACGAGATTTACAGAAGTTAGTAAAAACCATTTCCACTCAAGTATAGAATAACAAAATACAGTTAATGAGGGTTAGAACCACAAATACACTGAGCAGCACACATACACTTAAATATCCACATGAAGGCCATGCAGAAGGTGGACACACATACCATGCGTGCTCATGCACTGAGTGGGGGGAGGGGGAGTGGCCTAACCATCATAAGACTCCAAGAGAGGCAAAGAGCCCCGCCTCTCCCCATACATTCCTCCCTGAGAGTCAGAGAGAGAGAGAGAGAGAGAGAGAGAGAGAGAGATTGACAGAGGATAAAAGAAAGGGAAAGGCATTGAAGAAGAGGTGAGTGATAATAGAAGGAGAGGGGCGTGTGAGAGAGTTAGTTGAGGTGAGACCCCTCTTAGTATTATTAGTGAAATCACAGTAGGTTAATAAGTTTCAGCTTGTGTAGTGTGTGGGTTTTGGGATGTCTGGTGTGCTGAATTGCTTGTGAGGGAAGTTTAGTTTGTTGTGTGTAACTGCTCAGGAGTGGATGTTCCCTTGCAGGTGTGTTACCTGAAGTGGCTCTCTGTCAGAGCGATCCAGAGTGTCGTCTAAAGTGTTTCTCCGTCCTCTCTGGTCTAGCGTAGAGTAAGCGTCTGGCACCACAGATAAAAAGCATTTTGAGTTGGGGGATTTTTTCCTCCCAAGAAAGTGACACTTGTATTCAGCAAAGATGCTGAATTGATCAAAAGTCATCATTTGTAACACTATAAGCGTGTTTACTATTTCTTTTTCACCACATTCTTTTAAAATCAGCATATTATAATGATTTCTGAAAGATCATGTGACAATGAAGACTGGAGTAATGATGCTGAAAATTCAGCTTTGCCATCACAAGAATAAATTACACTTCTAAATAGAAAACAGTCATTTTAAATTGTACAATATTTCACAATATTACTGTTATTACTGCATTTTTGATAAAATAAATGCATCCTAAATGCATTAATTGAAAGACATTTAAAAAAAACAATTTACCAACCCCAATCTTGATGCACATGATATTTACTATTAACATTTTTTATATACTTCATATGTAACATTTTATAATATATTTAATTTTAAAGTGCAAGCTGAAGTAAAAGACACAAGTGTTGAAAATGAGAATTGGGAAAACCTAATCCACCACTGGAAAATGTGGCTAAAAGTTCATTTTAGACATTGTGTATATAACCATAAACTATGAGAATAAATTATGTTTTTTTTTACCTGGTCCCATGTCATTAAGAGGAATCATGTCTCTGTCCTGTTTGCCCCCTAACAAAGAGACCCAAACAAAGTCAGATCTCAGAAACACGAAGATGTATCCTGTATGTCCATGCGGCCGATAAACATCTGTTTGTTGTGTTAAACACACTACAGAGCATTCAGCAGGAATGTGTTGTGTCTTACCCCTGTCTATTAGCGGCAGGGTGCTGTCCTCGTATCCTCCGTTACTGCGGGTGTTGTTAGGAGGGTTAAGGTTCACCATGAAGTCCGTTTTCTTCCAGCCGTCTTTCTCCAGTGTGCGGCGGAGCTCTTTGAAGCCCCACACGATCTGCAGCACCAGCCCAGCGCCACGCACCTCCCGATCTGAACGGTTGCTAAAAGGGAAAGCGGAGGATTGGGCATTTGCAGTTTTGGCATACTTGTTCCTCTTCCAGGTTTCTCCAATTTGACCGGACAGTTATTAAAAACCACTTATACATACCTATCTTTGTTGATGAGCACCAGTCTCTCGATTCCCTGGGAGCTGCGCAGGGTTTTGGCCGCATCCACGCTGGAGCCGACCACCTCCGTCATAGTGCTGAGAATAGACACCACAGTCTCCTCTGAGAGCGCCCGCGCAGGCTGACTCTGACCACCGCCTGGCAGATTGGCCACCAAGTTAGGCACTGCATGCTTCCCTACACAGAGAGAGGAAGAGGGTAAAATACACTGGGATTCATTCATTGGGACTGTACAAATATGGCTTTTTGTACACGATTTGATGGGAATAACACTGAATGGACACAAATACGAAGGCCTAACAGGTATTGTTTGCTCGCATACCTAGCAGCTCACGGTTGCGAGCGTCAATGGCCAGGTTTCTCAAGGCTCCGGACATGGCTCTGACCACACGGTCGTTCCCATGAGACAACAGCTCGGTCATCATCGGCAGGCCATGCTCCTGTCTAACCACTGCTCTGATGTACCGCCCATACTGAAAAGATAAGAACAGAAGTAAAAATTATGATACTGTCAGATTTTTCCTTCTGAGGAACCTAATCAAACAGACATTAACTAAGGAATAAATGATGATAGACAAGAGCTGCTCGATTATGACAAAAATAAATAAAATAATGATAACAACAACAAATACACACACACATATACATATATATATATATATATACACACAGGGGTGCACATAAGTAGTCCACAGGTGCGACCAAAACAAAAAATGCGCTTTGTAAATAAGTTCTGACAGCGCATTTGCGTACCGACATGATTGACAGCTGTTAATGCACAATCACCGTTTTAGATCGACAAACTGTACTGTATAAGATTTCTGTTCCGAAAGCATAAATCTAGGCTATCCGCTGCCGTTTTTTTCAAAGCACAATGCAAAACTGTGACATTTCATTCACTGACGATCTTCGATCGGCAGCTTCAAACCCGGAAGCGCATATACTTACTTTGCCGGCAACCCGCCAATATAAAAGCCTGCTGATTTTAAAAGGGTCATATGATGCTTTTTTAAAGATCATTATTTTGTGTATTTGGTGTAACAGAATATGTTGACATGCTTTAATGTTCAAAAAACACATTATTTTTCAAATACAGTACATTATTGTAGGTCCTATATGCCCACAATATTATCACACTATTATTTAGTTTATTAATTTTATTAATTTTTAGTAGAACCAGGCTGAAAAACTTATGTGCACCCCTGTATATGTATATATATATACAGTGGGTACGGAAAGTATTCAGACCCCCTTAAATTTTTCACTCTTTGTTATATTGCAGCCATTTGCTAA